TTTTGGTACCAGTACCATGCTGTTTTGGTTACTGTAGCCTTGTAGTATAAAGTCAGGTAGGGTGATGCCTCCAGCTTTGTTCTTTTTGCTTAGGATTGTCTTGGCAATGCGAGCTCTTTTTTGGTTCCAGATGAACATTTTCCAATTCTGTGAAGCAAGTCATTGGGAGCTTGACAGGGATGACACTGAATCTATAAATTCCTTTGGGCAGTATGGCCATTATCACTATACTACTTCTTCCTATCCATGAGCATGAAATGTTTTTCCATTTGTTTGTGTCCTCTTTTATTTCGTTGACAAGTGGTTTGTAGTTTTCCTTGAAGAGGTCCTTCACATCCCTTGTAAGTTGGATCCCTAGGTATTTTATTCTCTTTATAATAATTGTGAATGGGAGCTCACTCATAATTTGGCTTTATGTTTGTCTGTTCTTGGTCTATAGGAATGCTTATGATTTTTGTACATTGATTTTGTATTCTGAGACTTTGCTGAAGTTGCTTTAAGGAGATTTTGGGCTGAGACGATGGGGTTTTCTAAATATACAATCAGGTCATCTGCAAACAGGGACAATTTGACTTCCTCTTTTCCTAATTGAATACCCTTCATTTCTTTCTCTTGCCTGATTGGCCTGGCCAGAACTTCCAACACTATGTTGAACAGGAGAGGTGAGAGAGGGCATCCTTGTCTTGTGCCGGTTTTCAAAGGGAATGCTTCCAGTTTTTCCCATTTAGTATGATATTGGCTGTGGGTCTGTCATAAGTAGCTCTTATTATTTTGAGATACATTCCATCAATACCTAGTTTATTGAGAGTTTTTAGCATGAAAGGCTGTTGAATTTTGTCGAAGGCCTTTTCTGCATCTACTGAGATAATCATGTGGTTTCTGTCATTGGTTCTGTTTACGTGATGGATTACATTTATTGATTTGCGTATGTTGAATCAGCCTTGCATTCCAGGGATGAATCCAACTTGATCGTGGTGGATAAGCTGTTTGATGTGCTGAATTCAGTTTGCCAGTATTTTATTAAGGATTTTTGCATCGATGTTCATCAGGGATATTGGTTTAAAATTCTCTTTTTTTGTTGTGTCTCTGCCAGGCTTTGGTATCAGGATGATTCTGGCCCCATAAAATGAGTTAGGGAGGATTCCCTCTTTTTCTATTGATTGGAATAGTTTCAGAAGGAATAGTACCAGCTCCTCTTTGTACCACTGGTAGAATTCAGCAGTGAATCCGTCTGGTCCTGGACTCTTTTTGGTTGGTAGGCTATTAATTATTGCCTCAATTTCAGAGCCTTTTACTGGTCTCTTTAGAGATTCAACTTCTTCCTGGTTTAGGGTGTATATGTCCAGGAATTTATCCATTTCTTCTAGTTTTTCTAGTTTGAGTAGAGACGTTTATAGTATTCTCTGATGGTAGTTTGTAGTTCTGTGAAATCGGTGGTGGTATCTCCTTTATAATTTTTTAATGCATCCATTTGATTCTTCTCTCTTTTCTTAATTAGTCTTGCTAGCGGTCTATCAATTTTGTTGATCTTTTCAAAAAACCAGCTTCTGGATTCACTGATTTTTTTTAAGGGTTTTTTGTGTCTCTATCTCTTTCCAGTCTGCTCTGATCTTAGTTATTTCTTGCCTTCTGCTAGCTTTTGAATTTGTTTGCTCTTGCTTCTCTAGTTCTTTTCGTTGTGATGTTAGGGTGTCGATTTTAGATCTTTACTGATTTCTCTTGTGGGCATTTAGTGCTATAAATTTCCTTCTACACGCTGCTTTAAGTGTGTCCCAGAGATTCTGGTACGTTGTGTCTTTGTTTTCATTAGTTTCAAAGAACATCTTTTTTTCTGACTTCATTTCGTTATTTACCCAGTAGTCATTCAGGAACAGGTTGTTCAGCTTCCATGTAGTTGTGCAGTTTTGAGTGAGTTTCTTAATCCTGAGTTCTAATTTGATTGTACTGTGCTGTGAGAGAGTTTGTTGTGATTTTGTTCGTTTACATTTGCTGAGGAGTGCTTTACTTCCAATTATGTGGTCAATTTTAGAATAAGCTTGATGTGGTCCTGAGAAGAATGTATATTCTGTTGATGTGGGGTGGGGAGTTCTGTAGATGTCCATTAGGTCTGCTTGGTGCAGAGCTGAGTTCAAGTCCTGGATATCCTTGTTAGCCTTCTGTCTCGTTGATCTGTCTAATACTGACAGTGGGGTGTTAAAGTCTCCCATTATTATTGTGTGGGAGTCTAAGTCTCTTTGTAGGTCTCTAAGGGCTTGCTTATGAATGGGTGCTCCTGGATTGGGTGTATATATATTTAGGATAGTTAGCTCTTTTTGTTGAATTGATCCCTTTACCATTATGTAATGGCCTTCAGATCTTTGTCGGTTTGAAGTCTATTTTGTCAGAGACTAGGATTGCAACTCCTGCTTTTTTTTGCTTTCCATTTGCTCGGTACATCTTTCTCCATCCCTTTATTTTGAGCCTATGTGTATCTCTGCATGTGAGATGGGTCTCCTGAATACAGCACACTGATGGGTCTTGACTCCTTATCTAACTTGCCAGTCTGTGTCTTTTAATTGGGGCATTTAGTCCACTTACATTTAAGGTTAATACTGTTATGTTTGAATTTGATCTTGTCATTATGATATTCACTGTTTATTTTGCCCATTAGTTGATGCAGTTGCTTCATAGAATCGATGGTTTTTACAATTTGGGATGTTTTTGCAGTGGCTGGTACCGGTTATTCCTTTCCATGTTTAGTGCTTTCTTCAAGAGCTCTTGTAAGACAGGCCTGGTTGTGACAAAATCTCTCAGCATTTGCTTGTCTGTAAAGGATTTTATTTCTCTTTCACTTATGAAGCTTAGTTTGGCTGGATATGAAATTCTGGGTTGAAAATTCTTTTCTTTAAGAATGCTGAATATTGGCCCCCACTCTCTTTTGGCTTGTGGGATTTCTGCCGAGACATCTGCTGTTATTCTGATGGGCTCCCCTTTGTGGGTAACTCGACCTTTCTCTCTGGCTGCCCTTAACATTTTTTTCTTCATTTCAACTTTGGTAAATCTGACAATTATGTGTCTTGGGGTTGCTCTTCTCGAGGAGTATTCTGGGGTGTTCTCTGTATTTCTTGAATTTGAATGTTGGCCTGCCTTGCTAGGTTAGGGAAGTTCTCCTGGATAATATCCTGAAGAGTGTTTTCCAAATAGGTTCCACTCTCCCCGTCACTTTCAGGTACACCAATCAAACGTAGATTTGGTCTTTTCACACAGTCTCACATTTCTTGGAGGCTTTGTTTGTTTCTTTTTTCTCTTTTTTTCTATAACCTTGTCCTCTAACTCTATTAATTTGATCTTCAATCACAGATACCCTTTCTTCCACTTGATCGAATTGGCTATTGAAGCTTGTGCATGTGTCACAAAGTTCTTGTGCCATGATTTTCAGCTTCAACAGGTCACTTAAGGTCTTCTCTACACTGTTTATTCTAGTTAGCCATTCGTCTAACCTTTTTTCAAGGTTTTTACCTTCCCTGAGATGGGTCTGAACATGCTCCTTTAGTTCGGAGAAGTTTGTTATGATTGACCTTCTGAAGCCTACTTCTGTCAACTCGTCAAAGTCATTCTCCGTCCAGCTTTGTTCCATTGCTGGTGAGGCACTGTGATCCTTTGAAGGAGAAGAGGCGATCTGGTTTTTAGAATTTTCAGCTCTTCTGTTCTGGTTTCTCCCCATCTTTGTGGTTTTTATCTACCTTTGGTCTTTGATGTTGGTGACCTACAGATGGGGTTTTGGTGTGGATGTCCTTTTAGTTGATGTTGATGCAATTCCTTTCTGTTTGTTAGTTTTCCTTCTAACAGTCAGGTCCCTCACCTGCAGGTCTGTTGGAGTTTGCTGGAGGTTCACTCCAGACTCTGTTTGCCTGGGTATCACCAGTGGAGGCTGCAGAAGAGCAAATACTGCAGAACAGCAAATATTGCTGCCTGGTCCTTCCTCTGGAAGTTTCGTCCCAGAAGGGCACCTGTCTATATGAGGTGTCTGTTGGCCCCTACTGGGAGGCGTTTCCCAGTTAGGCTACATAGGGGTCAGGGACCCACTTGAGGAGGCAGTCTGTATGTTCTCAGAGCTCAAACACTGAGTTGGAAGAACCACTGCTCTCTTCAGAGCTGTCAGACGGGGACGTTTATGTCTGTAAAAGTTGTCCGCTGCCTTTTGTTCAGCTATGCCCTGCCCACAGAGTCAGTCTACAGAGGAAGCAGGCCTTGCTGAGCTGCGGTGGGTTCTGCCCAGTTCAAGCTCCCTGGCCGCTTTGTATACCTATTCAAGCCTCAGCAATGGCAGACGACCCTCCCAAGCTGGGCTGCCGCCTCGCAGTTTGATCTCAGGCTGCTGCGTTAGCAGTGAGCAAGGCTCCATGGGCATGGGACCTACTGAGCCAAGCATGGGAGAGAATCTCCTTGTCTGCTGGTTGCTAAGACCTTGGGAAAAGCTCAGTATTTTGGTGGGAGTGTCCCATTTTTCCAGGTATAGTCTGTCCCGGCTTCCCCCGGCTAGGAAAGGGAAATCCCCCGACCCCTTGCGCTTCATAGGTGAGGCGACGCCCCACTCTGCTTCAGCTTGCCTTCTGGGGCTGCACTCACTGTCCAATCAGTCCCAGTGAGATGAACCAGGTATCTCAGCTGGAAATGCAGAAATCACCCATCTTCTGCGTCTATCACGCTGAGAGCTGCAGACCAGAGCTATTCCTATTCAGCCATCTTGGACCCAATCTCCGAAGTTATTTATTTAAATGCCTGTCTCCTTCAGTAATCTGTGAGTTAATCAAGTTGTAGGTAGAATGGCTTAACTTTACATTATCAGAATGTAGTACAGTAATTAGTATATAATAATATTGAAAAGTATAAAGAAAAACCCTTAACTGTATCAATGTGTTTTGAAAAGCAGGACTGCATCCCGCAGATGCTAAAAGCTATTGCAATATCTCTTCAAAACAAATGTGTTAAAAGCATCTGAAAAATGAAAGCATACATACCTTCAGTGTCTTGATCATAGTTGGATCAGTTGACCTAACATAGAAACTCTTCAGATAAGGTTCGAACATCCCCTAGATTACAAAAACAAATACAAGAATACATTAAGGTACTAATGTGTTCACGTGTCTCTTAAATTATGTGTTCAGAACGTACATACCTTTCTTTGAATTGACATAGTTGCTATATTTTGTAGGACAATATACTGTACCTCCCTAGAAATCAAAAGAGAATTATCACTGGGTATATGTTCCAATGAAACATCTTTGAGTAAGCACTATAATAATGAAAAAGAATTAGCAATAATTTCATAGTGAATGAGACTCTTAAATGTAATATTGAAAAGTTTTTAGTAAATCTTAGACATCTGCCATTTTAATGCACTTTTTCTATAAAATACCAATAAACTACATGTGATTCATCATGAAGAATAGTTAAAACAAATTTTACAATAAAGTACTCCTAAAATATAAAGTTAACATTTTAGCTGCTTTGAACACATCCAAGGAAAGTATTCCTAGTGTTACTGGGGTAAATATGACCACATTGTTATTATTAACTCATTCTTCCCAAGGCAAAGGTCAGATTTAAAAAGCAGTCATGTTATTTTTAGATCCAAATATCTAATAAATGAACTGAATCTGGTATAAGGCTTCACGTGAAAGACCAATTCCAGGTCTTTCTGATAGCCTTTGAACTAGCCATAGGAAAAAAAAATGCTGAGCTAGCAAAAGAGAAAAATAATAGCTGGATATAAAGATACGGAGAATAGGTACACAAAGGAAATGGCATCTAATTTGTTACTAAGCCAGTCAAGAGCTAAAATTGTGGACTAAGTTCCAGTTAAGGGCAAAAATAAATACATGGTTCTTTCCTTCCAACCCAATTAGTTGAAACAAGCACTCAATGAAAAACATTGTTTCAAATTAAAACAACTAATTACTGAAAAATAGCTAAGGTATGTCAAATAGCTGAAATGAAGGTATTCTTAAACACAGAACAAAAGTCTGAATTAAACCTGAAATCGTGATTCTCATGTTATATGTCATGGAAACTCAATAAATTGTTTTGACTTGTTTACCTAAACCACTAAATTATAAAGAGGTAAAATTAAAGGTAAATTTAAAAACCACTAAATTATAAAGAGGTAAAATTTAAAAATTACCTAAACCACTAAATTATAAAGATAGCTCTGTCTGTCTATCTGAAACTAAGAGTATCCAATCTTTAAAATGAGTAGCTATTTAAAACATAGCTCTCTTTTTAGAGTGGAGCAAAGCAGAGTAATTAAATATTCCAGCTTTATAGGAAGCGCAATTCTGGCATAAACTACATTACTTAGCATACACATTGCTCTATAAAACCATGTATTAATACATTGAGTAAGTCAATCTGATAGTACTTCAGTATAGTTTTTCAGTGATTCCAGCTTTACTAAAACTCCCGAACATCATTATTGCCATACCTAAAAATGTCAAGCACTAATACTAGGCTACTAGTGACACCCTAGAATTATGCCACAAAATATTTTCAATATCTTTGGGCTTGAGGTTAAAAAAAATTTCAGTATTTATAATTAAGTGTGAGATAAGCATATAAAGACTTTTATAATAATCCCATTAAGTATGAAATCTTACTGATTGATAGATTAAAGTATAGTCAGAGTTATATATTAAATGCCTGAAAGATTAAATTTGTTCAAACATTACTTTTGAAGGAATACAAAAGAAAAAAATATATATATAAAATCACGACCTACCTATTGCTACGAAGTAAACGCACTAGTGATTTAGAAATTATGCCAGCTTCAGATTTTGGTGATATGTGCCAATACAGCTGAGCAACTGCCATAACCACCTACAAGATAAAGCATAAAAATAACAGGAACTATGAACACCAGAGCACTCTACAACTTCAAAATCCATTCCTACACATTATTTCCTCTAAGTCCCAAAAATTCCTGGGATGTAAAATGGAATGTTACTCTTTGTAGTGAGTTGAAGAAGTGTCCACCACCCCCAGTGACCAATTCTATCCTCAGAATCTGATCTTATTTGGAAGTGGGATCTCTGCAGAAATTATTAATGTAAGAACTGAAATGAGATCATGCTGGTTAAGAGCCCTAAATTGAATGAAACTGTCCTTATAAGAGGAAAAAAAAGGACAAAAAGAGACACAGTGAAGGCCATGTGAAGATGGAGATAATTAGTGTGATACATCCATAAGCCAAGCAATGCCACAGATTGCTGGCAATCACCAGAAGCTAGGAAAGAGATGGTTTCTCCCTCAGAGTACACAAAAGTAACCAATACTGATTATACCTTGATTTCAGACTTCTGGCTTCCTAAAATGTGACAGAATAAGTTTATGTTGTTTTAATCCACTCAGGTTGTGGCAATATGTATGGCAGCGCTATGAAACGAATACATCCTCAGAAAAAAAAAGAGACATTGAATGAACTGCTCAAAGTGTAACAGCTAGTATGTGGCAAAGCTCAAGACACTCGAAATTCCATGCTCCTCGGCTGCTGCTCTGAGACTGGGGCTTTTTAAGAATTATAAGTATGCCTTTCTAAATGAAGCCAGGACAACAGTAACAAGTAGGCTGAAATAAAGAAAACTCAGCACATTTAAGTTACAATTAAAGAAACTCCATTAAAACAAATACATCTACAGCAGTAGCATTTAAAATAATCTTGTTTTTAAAAACACAGAACCTTAAAAATGGCTTTTGGTTAAAAGCCATTATAAGGGTGATTCGAAGACTGGGCACAGCGACTCACGCCTGTACTCCCACCCCTTTGGGAGGCCGAGACAGGTGGATCACTTGTGGTCAGGTGTGAAACCATCCTGGCCAACATGGTGAAACCCCATCTCTACTAAAAATACAAAAATTAGGTAAGTGTGGTGGTACACGCCTGTAATCTCAGCTACTTGGGAGGCTGAGACAAGAGAATCGTTTGAACCCAGGAGGTAGAAGTTGCAGTGAGCTGAGATCATGCCACTGAACTCTAGCCTGGGCAACAGAGTGAGACACTGTCTCAACAAAACAAAACAAACAAAGGGTGATTAGAATTTCTTTGTCTCAAAACAGAAGAGTACTGCTTCCCCTAAGTGCCTCTACACTCAGATTCAGAGTGACAACTGTAGAGATATAGCTACAGATGTTACCAATGCTGCCTTTGGCTCAAAGGACACACTAATATTAATTTAACTCTGCCTGGTCTATGAAGTTTGAACAAATATATAGCAAAAGTTCTATTAATATATATGCCTAAATAGTATACAGCACAGGAGAACGTTTGAGGTTAAAAAAAGTTTCTTCTAAAACTAAAGAACTGTTTTTAAAAATACAGTATACAGGATCCTAAATTTACTGTTTGCCATTTCTTGTACTTTCTTACAAGTTTGATTTATAGCTTTAAGACATTAGTTGAGAATTTTAAAAATGCAAGAATATCTCATTCCTTCACTTGTGAACTGCAAATATAAGTTAGCTACAAAATAAACTCTACCGAATTTTAAATCTTATAAAATAAAACAACCTCAATTAATGACTGATCTAATTCAAGATTAAATTCTAGTCTTTAAAATTCTAGCTGCCACTTGGCATGCCATCTGTTCTAATATATTAGGGTAGTCCAAAATCCGAAAGGACTAAATGAGCCTCTTTTTCCTCAGTATTTAGAAATCCAACAGTTTACAGTCTCTTTGACACCCAGAATTTGAAATGTATAGGGTAATTTGTAAACACCATGAAGAAAGTTCCCAAAGCTTCAAAATCGAAAAAGACTAAAAATATACAACCTTATAGGCCTTCTACAGTTACATCATGCCTGTTCTTAATAAAGTGCATCCTATAAACACTTTTCTACTCTTAACCATTCATGCCGCTGTCACCTTATTTAGACTGTTAGAATAGCCTCCTAACATTCCGCTTTCAGTATCTATCTCCAGTACAAACTACATAGCAATGACGTATTAAATTTCCTGAAAGAAATTCTCAAAGTCTCTCCATAAACTTAAGTATGAAGTTAAAAAAAAATCTATCCACAATTCTTCAAAAGTTAGCCTTTACTCATATTTAGCAGCATCCCAAAACAAGGCACCAAAATATACTGACACAAAAAGTAAACCACCTCTATTTGGTATACCATCAAGTAAGCAGGGAACCCAAACAAACTGGGACAAAAAGTACAAACTGCCACTATTTGTTTCACTATTTGAGAACGTTTTTGATCCATAAGTATTTGAACTATAAAATCAGTTTCTAAGACGTAGTTAAATGAATAGTGAGTCACTCATAAAGTAGAGTTTAAGATGGCAAATTACAGCTACCTAACTAGCATCTGGCTAAGCTGAGTACATTAAAATATATTTTATAACATCCATGAAATAATATTTTTGTTATGACTGGGCATGATTACTGAATAATGATTTGGAAACTAAACTATTAGGTATTAGACAAAAATTGTTGCTGATAACTAGGATACACAAAGCTATAAGCTCTAAATTCTCAAGAATCAGAAAAAATAATGCAAATTCCACATATTTGAAGTTTTTACTAACTGAACAGAACAACTCATTAAGAACATTTTCTCAATTAAAATCTTTAAGAACATATTTAACTTAAATCCGTCAAGCCTTGGATATAACTGCCAGTTAACAGGAAACACAGAATATAAAACAAATGACACTATAAAAGATGCAACCATCCCATTCCAGTAGGTATAGTAAAAACAAATCAAAAAACAAAATAAAAAGCAGCAGCAGCAATCAGACAAACCCAGAAGGACATTCTGTAAGACTAGAGAGGCTTTAAAAGACGCAATGCATTAGATAATAGTTTGGATAAATTATCCAAAAAGAATAATTTAAGATCAATTAGTATTAAATGAAATGAAATTTTATTGAAATAAAAAGTGGAGAGGACTGAATAGAGAAATAACGGTTAGAAAATGTTACGTACAGTATGATTTTTATCTTGGTTAAAATATATATATATGTATGTGTAATGATGAATATATGTATACTTATGCAGATTAAAAAGCTCTGGAAGAAAATACACTAAGACATAAGTGATTTCTGAGTGTTGAGAATGTGATGTTTTAATTTTCTTTTTAGTTTTGCTAGTCTGTATTTTCTAATTTTTGTATTGTGCACATGTATTCTTCTAAAATACAAATGGTTATATAAACAAAAAGATGTCGAACAAACAAAGAAAACCTTATGACCCAAATAAAGATGATTTTTAATTACGATTACTACCAATTTACATTTATAATATGTGAGGCATTACCTTTGTTAGTCTCTTAAAAATTCTATCAGACAAACAGTAAGGACTGAAACCAGATCAAGTACCCTCAATCATAATGGAATAACTGATAAATATACATAGTCCTTACATAAGAGCTAATACAATCCAACCAATTGAGAAACAACTTAGAAATATCTTAAGAAAAGTAATTAACAAAACCACTAAAAAGTAAATGAAGTCCAATAGGCCAAACCAGGTATTCTCATCAAAAGCTAACTCTGCATACCTGGAAACATGGAAGGCTGAAATATATTTAGGTATTACTTCCCAGACATTAGGTCTCTAAATCTATAGCTTACATTCCACACTGTATTTCCAACTATCCATTACATGTCATTTGGTGTGTAAACAAACAAATGTTCCATTAGCACACACAAACTCACTTACTAAATTGAGGTATTTTTAATTGCTGTTTTTTAAAACCCAGTGAATTATTTCTTATAAGGATTTTGACATACCGCAGCATTCCTGCTCTGAAGCAAAGGCTTTGTATTTCTAATTAAGAGTCTATGATCTGGATCCATAGTATATGGCTTCTTCCTTTTGTCAGTCTTTTCCTTCTGATCATCATCAGATTCATAGAAATTCTTTTCATTGTCTTCTAATTCATCACCCTACAATGAAAGAAATCCAATTCCAAGATTACTTTAGACCTTGAACAATCCACATATTATATAGTCAAAGAAAACTTTCTTTTAAACATCTACAATAACATTTTACTGTAGAATACTTCTGTTTAGGCAATTTAAAAATATTACACAACCTATATCGAATAAAGGCCTTGATTTTTCTCATATTTTATAACAAGTTACTATGCTATAGATGATGTGCTTCTATTGTATTACAAAGCAAAGTTTTGACTATTAAATCCCCATAGAAATACCTATAGCCCTTCAAAAGGAACACATGACCGTTAGATTTTAACAAGGCCTATAATACTACCGAAAACCTGAAAACTATTTCCATAAATTGTCAGCCACTCTATAACTAGATCAAAGAGCCAAAAAAAGAGGAGCATTGTTTGAATAGTAACATAAAAGAAATCACAGTAAAGTTTGACAAGTAAAAACTAGTGTTATTAATTAGGTCCCTGAGTTGTCAAGAAAATGTCTCAGTTTGAGATTTATAAATATCCACAGGAGTTGATTCTAGGTTTTTGTTTTGAATTTTTTATCTCTGCCAATAAAATATGCCTACAGGCATTTAGTCCCCAAAACAAACAAACAAAAAACCACACAAACACAATAATAGCCACATACATCCAATTTAACTACTGTTTAGAGGTAACCTCCAATACCAAGTATCTGAAACACACTTTGTGCTTCCAGGAAGATGGAGTAGATGTACTTTTCCCCACCTCTCTCACTAAGTAGGTCTAGAAAAGCAGAACACTACATGTAAAATGCATATTAAAAAAACATAAGAAGACTTTGAAAGGCAAAAAGAAGGAGAACTGGATAGGAACCTCAAGATCCAAAGACAGACAGACCAGTGAGTTCCCTGGGTTTTCATTTTATTTCATATACCCAAACTCAGTGCAGAAGCTGGCAACAAATGCAGATGAAAGAAACCCCCAGAACTGCTCTCTCTAGCCAAAGGACCAGGAAAGGGGCAGTCTAGCAAGACATAAAACTTCTAGAAGTAACTACTCAAGTGCAGCCGAACACCAGAAAAAAATTATGGCCCTACCCCCATCCCCACCAGTAAAGGCTGAGATGGTGATCCTAGACTTCTACCCTTATTAGGCTGTAATGAGATGCCCCAACCACCTCACTGGGTGGTCTCAGAAAAGGCAAAGATGGGACTGAGATTTTCATCTCTATCAAGAGGTAACAAGGATTCTGATATTGTGTGTGAAGACCAAGTGAGGAGCTTGGACTTCTAAGCCCATCCATTAGTGACAAGCTGACCTTATTCCTCCTCACTGTCATGATGTCAGAGGAGGCCTAGCGCATAGTTAGGACTTGCAGCACCACACTTAGTAGTAACCAAAGTCAGCCCCACCCACACCTTGGTGGTTGTCAGGGAAGGACACACGGAGAACAGTACCTTGTATCCCTGCTAGCCAGACAGCTATCAGAGAAAGACGGTTGGGGAGCCAGAAATCCCACACTCACCTATCGTAACAATAAGTACGATCCCTCTGAGGTGTCAGTGGAGGATAAGCAGGGAATCTGGACCTCTGCTATGATCCAGCAGTAATGAGACAGCACCCCTCTCTTTCCACCACCCTTCCTTGCTAGAGTGGTATCAAACAAAGCCAGTTAACCTGAAGGTTTAAATAAAATCCAGTCTCAAAGTATCCAAAATGTCCAAGTTTCAATTAAAAAATCACTCATCATTCCAAGAGACAGGAAGATCTCAAACTGAATAAAAATAGATAACTAGCAGATGCCAACACCAAGATAACAGAGATATTGGAATGATCTGATTATTTTTTAAAAAATCATTAAAAAATGCTTCAATGAGCAATTGAGAACATCCTGGTAACAATTACAGAAATAGAAGGTTTTAGCAAAGAATTATAAAGTCTAGATTGGGCGCAGTGGCCCACGCCTGTCATCCCAGCACTCTGGGAGGCCAAGGCGGGCAGATCACCTGAGGTCAGGAGTTAGAGACCAGCCTGGCCAACATGGTGAAACCCCATCTCTACTAAAAATACAAAAATTAGCCAGGCGTGGTGGTGGATGACTGTAATCCCAGCTACTCAGGAGGCTGAGGCTGGAGAATCACTTGAACCCTGGGAGGCGGAGGTTGCAGTGAGTACAGATCACGCCACTGCACTCCAGCCTGGGCAACAGAGCGAGACTCTGTCTCAAAAAAAAAAAAAAAAAAAAAATTATAAAGTATAAAGAAAGAAATAGAAGATAAAGAGACCAAATAAAAAATGTTACGACTGGCAAATACCAGAACCAAAACTAAAAACTTAATGAATGGGATCAAAAGCAGAGGAGGGGGACAAAAGAAATAATCAGTAAACTGGAACACAGAACAACAAGATTTACCCAATCTGAACAACAAAGATAAAATAGACTAGGGACAAAAAAAATCAAAACTAAAAAACAGAGTCTCAGGGACCGGTGAAACCACAATAAAAGACCTAACATTCCTTTCGTCTATTAATCAATCCTGGAAGGAGAGGAGACAGAGGCAAGAGCTGAAAGAGAACTCAAAGAAACAATGACTGCAAACTTTTTCAATTTGGCAAATAAAACTACAAATTGAGGAAGCTGAGTAAACCCTAAACTGGATTGAACCCAAAGAAATCCAAAACCTCTGAAAACTAAAGACAAAGAAAAAACAAATCTTGAAAGCAGCATAGGAGAAATGAAACCTTACCAGTAACAGAAAAACCAAGTCTAATGACAGCAGATTTCTCATCAAAAACCATAGAAGACAGAACACAGCAGACCAACTGATGGAGAGGAACTATCAACAGAGAATCTTATATCTAGCAAAAATATATTTCAAGAATGTAGGGGGAGAAAATCAAGACATTTTCAGATAAAAGAGAACTAGAGTATTTGTCATCAGCAGACCTATCCTGAAAGAATGGCTAAAGGAAGCTCTTTAGACAGAAAGGAAATGATAAAAGATGGAACCTTCAAACATCAAGAAGAAAGAAAGAATATGGCAAGGAAAAATATGAGTAAATATAACAGTTTTTCCTTCTCCTCCGAGTCTTTTAAATTATATCCGATGGTTGAAGAAAAGTTATAACACTGATATGGTTCTAAGTGCATGTAAAAGACATACCTAACAAAACTATTTATAAAGTGAAGAGAAAAAAGAGATGAAGGGGAGGTAAGTGGTTAAAAAGTTTGCCCCTTAAAGTGTAACATGAGGACACCAGTAGACTGTGATGGTAAGATAAGTTATGCATGTATAATGTAATACCTACAGCCACCACTAAAAAAGCTATACATAGAGATATATTCGTGCTTTGGTAGAAAGATTACTGAAGGCCAAGGTAGAAAGATTACTTAAGGCCAGGAGTTCTAGACCAGCCTGGGCAACAGAGCAAAACCTTGCTTCTACTACAAATAAAAAAATTTTTAAAAACTCAGCCATTCATGGGGGTATGTACCCATCGTCTTAGCTGCTCAGGAGGCTGAGGTGGGAGGATCGCTGGAGCCCAAGAGTTTGAGGCTTCAATGAGCCATGATCAAGGCACTGTGCTCCAGCCTGCGTGACAGAGTGAGACCCTGTCTCTAAAAAATTTCAAAAAATATAGGTTTTAATTAATAAAAAAAGAGATATATTCAAATTAACTGTAGATAAGCAAAGATGGAATTCTAAAAAATGTTGAAATAACCCACAATAAGAGAAATGAAGACTAGAGAGAACAAAAAACAAAAAATTAAATGGGAAGCTTAAGCCTTAAAAATAAATAGATTAAATGTAAATCAGTATGCCAATTAAAAGACAAAGGCTGTCAAAGTAGATTAAAACACCCATGACTCAACGATATGCTGCCTATAAGAAATTCACTATAAACATAAAGATAATGGCAGGTTAAAAGTAAAAGGATGAAAAAATATATAACATGCTAATATTAATCAAGGGAAAGCACAATGACTATATTAATATGAGATAAAGTACACTTCAGAGCAAAGAACATTACAACAGAGAAGGATATTATAGAATGACAAAATGGATAATCTAAAACGAAGGTTATATACCATATAATTCCATTTATATAACATTCTTGAAATAACAAAATTATAGAAACAGATTAGTGTTTGCCAGGGGTTAAGGGTTGGGAGTAGGGTTAAGCATCTGGAAGAAAGTCGGTTTGGCTATAAAACGGCAACATGAAGACTCCCTGTGATAGAAATGTTCTCAGTTTTGACTGTATCAATGTCAATATCCTGGTTGTAATACTGTATTAGAGTTTTGCAAAATATTACCATTGGGGAAAATTGAGTAAAGGTTATACAAGATCTCTCTCAATTATGTCTTACAATTTCATGTGACTCTAAATTATCTTTTAAAAAACATTTAATTGAATAAAACCAAGGAGATAAAAATCAGTAAGTCACTTAAAAGCAATTTGTCATATTTGTGCATTGTTAAACATAACAACAAAGAAAATTATCTAAAATGTTTAAGGTTAATATCACTTAAGTATTTTTCCTTTGCTACGTGCCTACAGATTTTACACAATCTTTCCTTAAATCTTGACATAAATATTACTGGAAAACACCTTTCATCAAAAGTACAACTTTTAGGTCTCCCAGAACAGAAATAATATTAGCACAGACAAAAAATCTTATAAAATTATTCAGAGAAAATTCACAAAATTTATACCCTTTGAAAACAAAAGTATCTGTACTAATACTCATCTTCAAAATTAAACTGGAAATCATAACATTATCACCTTCCTTTGAATGCAGAATTCAAAACAAACAAAACTAGTTGTCTTTTAGTGCTTAATAAAAGGACTATAAGTGAGATAAACTTTTATATCAAAGCTGGACTTGAGTGACTGTTCCTTTACGGAGCTCCAGGCTAAAGCAGTTCTGTTAAGTACATCAGTAAACCAATAAAACACAAATAATTAAATGCTCTAAGCATAAGCACTCACCTATAATCTTAAGTCATGGTTAATTAA